AGCGCAGCATGAGTGCACCTGTGCGACTGGGCACGCTGCACAGCTTGGAGGGAATGCTGTTTAGAAGATCCCATGGGCTAAGTACAGACAGTCAAAAACCTGAGGCTGAATGGATTCAGTCTTTGCAGGTTAATTTAAGCTGCAAAGATTGAATCAGTAGGCAAATGAACAGACATTCACTTGTAATTCAGGAAATTCAGCCACATACCTGCAGTGACTCAAGCCCGAAGCCAGGGGACACTGGATCACAGCTCTCCAGCAAGTGGCTAGCCTGGGCTGCGTGTTTGCTTCCTCTTCCTGCCGCCCCTGAGGTCTCTGGGATTTACAGTCCACAATCATAAAAGCAGGAATCTCCAGGGTTGTTCATCACTTCCTCTTCCTGCTTCCAGGTGCCTCTGGGATTTGTAGTCCACAATCACAGCTAGTGTTAAGTAAGACAGCAGGGAAAAGGGCAGCTCTGTACTCAGAGGAAGCTCTGTACTCAAGGGCAGTTCTGTACTCAGTTTAATCCTCCCTGGTCTCAGACTCCAGCTGCGGTTTGTCTGGGGAGGCTAGTGAGCCGGCCAGTGAGTCCACTCTCACTGCTCCAGCTAGGAAGCAGAGGAGCGAGGCCAGCCCTATTCTGTGGAGTAGACAGCCAGTCCAGCTCAGGGCTGCAGAGCATGCTGGGATGCTGAGAGACTCTGATTTAACTTAAACCAGAAAGGGGATTGGGACAGAAGTTTCATTAAGCGGTTTGACCTAAATCAGTTAAGTCTGATACTGCATTCAACCAGGTTTATCTTAAACCAGTTTCAGTCATTTTGAAGGTGATTTATGTACACTGAACTTTTGTTCTGTTACAGGTTTAAACCAGTTTCTGATCACGTAAATCAGTTTATGCGTAACTTCTGTCCCTAGCCCTGAAGATGGTTCAAATAATTTGAAAGAAATCAAGGATTAATTTAACACCAGGGCACACATTATTGTGTACTAGGAGCCTTTAATGGTGTGAAAGCAAATCTAAACAGCAGTTGAAACCATATTATTCAGTTGCATCTTTTGAAATCTCAAAGCCTTTAAGACGTGAAATATGAGGAATATGTTAAGTTTATTGTTTCCAGACATGGATATCATTCAAAAGTACTGAATTCTTTTTTCACTTCATTCAGTTGAAATTTTCTGGCAATGATCCTGTTATGGTATAGCATTAACAGAAATTACTTAATTTGATTAATGATCTTCTTGAGTAATTGAGTGAACTATCTTTAAGCTTGAGTGGGGAAAAAGATAACTGTATCAGAAAAAAACATGAGGGTCTCCTGAGAGTGAAGCAACCTGCATGATTTGGCATTGCTAATAAAAACAAAATGTTAGAATAATATACTTTTCTTTTTTTTCATAACTTACTGTTTTAATAATGTAACAATATTTTATGAAGTTTGAAATGAAGAAAATCTAGGGGCCTTAGGAAGTTGCATTGTGCAATTCAGAAGAGCTGTTTAAGTCATTATTAATCATGTAAGTAAGGATGGCAGTATTGTCTATGATAAAGAATGCCTGACAGTCCCTATGACAAGACCCTGCTTTCCATTTCCGCAAATATAATTGCTTTATAATCATTTCCTAAAGTTTTTGCTTCTAGATGATTTGTTTGGAAAATTCCAGCCAAAATTAGTTCAAGATATTAGTTTTTCCATTAGCTCAAGTGGCAGAGTTCTGCATGGGGGTTTAAAACTACATGATCTCATAATATATTTTCTACCTAGCTGCTGCCTCATTCAGAATACAGGACTAGCCAGTGTACACGTAGGGCATGTCTACACCATATTGGCAACATGCCATACCTGGGAGAGCCTGAACCACATCTTGCTGCTGGAACACATGCTTCAAATATAGGAGAATGATGTTGAAGATGCACCGGAGCAGCCCCAGTGCTTTCTTTCAAGCATACTAGCTCATCTGCACCCCACACACAGATCTGGGGGGGCACAGGTCCCCCCTACCCCCCTAGGAATGCATGCAGCAGTGGGGAGCTGGCCCCCTGGATGAGCTGCCCACAGCCCTATCCCACTCCCTGTTGGGGCCTCTGGGCACACATTTTAGCCCCAGGTAGCTGCCCCAGCCCTGCCAATTTCCTCCCTTCCTATGGGGCCCTCAATCCCCCCCCCACAAGACTTACCTGCAGGGCCTGCTTTCCATGCTGCCTTGTGGCCATGTGCATATACGTGTACATGGGGCCCCCTCCCTGACTGCCCTCCTCCTATTCCCCCTAGCCCCTTTCAGGCTGGAACTCTACCAGCCTACAGAGAGCTCTTTGCAAAAGTGCAAAATCCGTGTTTCTCTATTAAAATGAAAAATCTGTGTTTTTCTCAGGTAAAAAGGGAAAACCTTGGTTTTTTATGTATTTTTTTTTCATGGGAAACGGAAAACCCAGATCCCTGATTACAAGATTTCAGTGACTGGGACTGTAAGTAGAGCACCAGGCTTATAAGACTTGGGATAAAAACTTGCAAGCTTAGCAAAGATAAAACAATCTGTTTAGAAAATGGCCTGGAAATGAGTGAAGTTAGTGTCATAATGTGTGATTGGTATCAGGATCAGGTGAAAAGGTTGGGGGAGCGGGCAACAGAAAGAAAGAGAGAGACACAAGAGTGAAACAATGGATGAGAAGAAGGAATGCACAAGAGAAGAAGAAACAGGGCTAAAATGCATGATACCTTTACACCAGGGTAATCAGACTGGGACACTGGTATAAACAAAGAGCAGACACATATGTGATGCATACTTCTACACTGAATTGAATGTGGTTTATTTCTGATTTATCCCAGGAAAATTCTAGGTATTTATTGCACATTTATTTTGATAAGTAAAGTGAATATTTTATAAAATGTCATTTACTTACCCGTACCTGAGTTAACAAGAACAGCTACTGCTACAGAGAGAATATGTCTATGGAGTTGTAGAGTTTAGGGGAAAGGTTTGGAAATGACTATTAGTATTAAAGCAGGGTAACCTGTATTGTTGGGATAAAACTATTATTAAGTCTGGAAGGGACTGATGATTTTTGTTTTACTTTATTTTGAATGTGTTTTCTTTTTGGTCTTTGGAAGTGGACAGCTTATTATAGATATTTGCTTTAAAAACTGAACTCAATATTATCCATTTTATCAGGAAATATGGTCCTATGAAATTCTATAAAGAGCTTAAGAGAGCTCTGTTAACCAGAAACATTGTATGAAAGTTTAACTTTACAATATTAAGAGAACACACTTTATTTTTCAGAGTATTATCCATGTTGCTATTATTAAAGCATCGCTATACAGGTAAATACCTTATTGAAACCAGATTTTAAAATTCTTTGTGCATCTTTCAAGCTGTCAAAATACAATAGCACCAAGTATAGAAAATTATTTTGAAAGATGTGTATTTTGTTTTCCTTATTGTGGTAAGCAGAATTTTCTAAGTTTATAGTTAGAAAGCAGCATTTCCCAAACTTTTTATTATTTATGCTCATTGCCACTCTCACAGCCACTCTTCTACCCCTTTTACTTCTGCCACTGATTGATGCTGATTCTTTCTATTGCTGATTCTTTCTACTGCTGATTGTCGCAACCCTGAAAAAGATTTCAGGTTCTCCCATAGTGGGTTGTGTTCCACAGTTTAGGAAGCACTGCTTTAAAAATGTCATGCTAATATTAACAGAGTGACACTGGAAAGTAGTTGAAACTCAAATACTGTCACATTTTAAAACTATTATATTTTGAAGGAAAAGGTCCTCTCTGTTCTTAAAGAATGGCCTTGCAAATTCAGAAAAAGAATGAGAGCTAGGCAGATGAAAGAGAGAGAGAGAAAGAGAGAGAGCAGAGTCAAAAGGGAGCTCAATTTTGTTGCTTAGTAGTTGTCACTCACTTGAAAAGGGTGATTTAGGTTTCATAACCATTATTTTATTTGACAATACCTGTTTAAAAATAATTCTGAAATAAACTAAACTATCCCCTGCATGTGAGTGCCCAGCTCTTAGACTGGAGAGCGCTGCTCATTTGTGTTCTCAAAGTCTTTCTCTGGCCCAGTCAATTTAGAATATTTTATGCACAGCAGAACAGCTGTAAAAGGAGACATGAAGGGTGCCCACTCAGCTTACCCCAGAACAACATATAGACTAGTAGTCAAGACATTTTTCAGGGTGTGGGAGAGACGGGTTAGAATCCCATCACATGGAAGAGGAAATTGGACTTGGGTCACACACATCCTTCATCATTGTCATCATATTAAAAAAAACAAAAAAGAAACAAAGCTGACCACCAAAGAATCATGGACAGAGCCCAATCTGTTAAGTATACCTTTAGAACACTTATCAGATCAAGACTGAGGGCGCAGAAGCAGAGTTTATGGCTCTTAATTGGTGCTACTGGTAGAGTCTAATGTGTCACTGCTGTGTTACAGGTATCATTTTAATTACTACAGGACCACATGTGGCCTGTGAGGGGTTAATTTATGTTGTATGTCTCCCACCTGGCTGCTGCTACTCCCATTGCTCCAGCTACAGCATCAGCCAGGGTCACTGGGTTTCCCCTGCCTCTTTTGGTTTATACTTTCTGCCCCCACCCCAGGCAGCATGGTGGCATGGTGCAGCCCACAGTGCGAGGTTAGCTCGCGACCCAGGTTCCCCCCATGGCATATGCCTTGCGGGGGAACCTGTGGCCAGGAAGCTGAGGGTAGGGGACTGAATGCCTGCACATCATGGTGAGGTGCCCATGTGGTATGTACCTTGGGGGTCCCACTGTTCATGCTGCCACAGCTCAGATGGTGTGCACTGTGCAGCCCTTGCTGCTGCAGTTCTCAAGGCATGTGGACCCCAGCCACTTGGAAGATGGACAGTCCTGAATTATTACATGAACGTCTAATGAAGTATTGTTTTATCCCTCAGTAAATGTATATTTAATATTTTTTAAATAAAGACACAGAAGATAATTCTTAATACCTTTGAAAAATAAATGCAAAATATTTATGTATTTAAGATGGCAGATCACACAGAAGTAATGAGAGGGATCGAACGGCATCCTGGAGTCCGATATCCTGTTCTCACTCCTAATCTTCGAGGTTTCCATTCTGCTGTAAGTGCACTGGTAGAATGTGTCTGCAGTGAAGTTCTTCATGTTTCAAACATTAGGCAGAGTACCATAATCTAGCTATTTAATATCATTTAAACCAGTTCTGTACCTGTATTATTCACCCAGTTCTCAATAACTGTATTTTTATGTAAAAGTATAAGTTTTCATAGAGCAAATTACAGATTTCAGAGAACTACATTAAAGTCTATACATTTACATTTTAATAGTTTGGATCGATCAAACAGTCTTCTGCAAAGTGCTGTAAATTGTAGCGCACACATAAAGAAGGAAAAATAATTCCTTTTCACTACTTGGCTTCTTGCCACTAGAGCTGGTCAAAAGGTTTCCAATGGAATGCTTCCCCACTGGAAAATGATTCAGTGAAATCAAAATGATTTGTAGGAATGTATCAATTTTGTCTAAATGTTGATGGGAAATTATCAAAATATTTCATTTCAGTGAGGTTAAAATGTTTCATTTTGACTTTATCAATTCAGCTAATATAAAGTCATACTGATACTTGGAACTATGTGTTTTGACCTTATCAACATGAAGTATTTCAAACATCAAAATGACACGTTTTGATAAGGTCACAACAAAATAATTTTGGATTACTTGGTGTTGGGAAAAATTCTGAGCTATCTCCATTTTGTCCTGATCTGAGACAAAACAAAATTTTGAACTCCTGGTATTTCCCTTGAGACTGGAATTCAATTTTTTGACCCAGCATCTATGGGCACTTAGGCCCTAGAAGCACTTGGCCCTGTTGTATTGACAGTTCATCCTCTTCAGTGACCTTGCAGACCACAACACTGTAAGCCTGGAGATGAAATAGGTAGGTATAATAGTTTAGGAAAATGGAAACCCAAGTCATTATGACATTTGTTTTCCTTATGACAGGGTTAGTTCCCTTTAGTGTCAAATTTTACTTTTTCCTCTGTTGCTGTTCTTAGTAGTTTATTCTTCAGGGAAGATATTTTATTTGAGCTGCCTGGAGGAGAAGAAATATTTTGAACATAAGAGACATATGTTTCTTAATAAAAATATTTTCTTTAGAAGGATGAAGTAGGAGTCTCTTGAGCCTTAGGCCCTGAACAGATATAACGTTTGAGCACTCAATGCCCGTGAAGGACTTGAAAGGGTGAGCAGACAGATACATGCCATTTTAAGTGCTACAAAAATGTCACAAGGGCTCTAAAAATAACTCCATAGAAAATAACTACTATTCAGAAATGCTTCAAAATGAAGTGCATGTTCTGCAGAGTGTCACCATGAAAAACTGGATCTTCCAAGCATCTCACAGAACTTGGCTCTGTACACTGCCCATGAAGAGGAGTAAAAAGAAGCAGATTGTCAGTTAGTACTGATGTATTCTGCCTCTGCTCTCCTGGATCACCCCCATGGCCAGAATCAGGAAACAGGAGGCGTCTCAGTTCTGCTCACCACCTGGATGAAGAGGTGCTCCAAGACAGTGAAGACAGAGAGCACAGCAGAGTACTCACAGACAGTTCTGTTTACCCACTCTCACAGCTGTAGCAATTTTGAAGCCCTCCAGCCAGGGGTTGTGTATGGAGGTGTGCATCTGTCCACAGTTGAAACATTCCATGTTTGAAGTGCTTCAAACTGGAGCTCAACCTATAGCTTAACACTTTGTTTTTGTATTTCTTTAGCAGTATATGTTAAGATATGGATCTTTCTACTGCCCTGATAATTTTGCAACTGTCCAAACTGAGGTTGTACCAATTTAATTAATTTGCTTATGAATTTCTAAAGCAAAGTAATATGAAACCTAGGTATAAATAAGTCTGCTGACCTACCTAATGTGAAAACTAGGGAAAAGGGGGAAAAGCAAACTTAAACAATGAAAGAACCATTTATTTCATGAGAAAGCAGCACTGTTTTCATTGGAAAAGTTGTTTTTCCCATTCTTCTATTATACCCATGTGTTTGTTCTTTCTATTTGTCTTTCCCTTGCCCCTTTTTTTTCACCTCATCTTCTGGTTCCCAGGAATCTAACCTGCTGGCTTGTCTTTAGAGAGAGCAAGTTAGCTGCCTCTATCAGGATCACCAAAATGACCTACTCTTCTACTTATCTGAGACACTTTTTTGGTAGATTGTTATATAGTCTGCAGGAAGTCCATAATGATATAATAAAGCCATTACAGCCTATTGCCCCGATTATGCCTATAGCTGTAGCCAGTTGCAGCGATATACCTTCAGAGTCTGTTCCAGGATCAGAGACTCACTGATGTACACACACACCTCTCACTGAAGGTATGACAATGGGCTGTAGAGCTGATTAGCATTCTGACATTTTTATGCTGTTTTTATTCATTCTGTAAATAGCAAGTATCCATTAGTTACTACAACTAGCAGTTTATTTTATTATCATCACAATTTAAATAATGTCTTACAACTAGATATCTAGGAATATCATTTAAAATCTCAGGTGTTAATTAATACAGACTACAGTATTTAAAACAGTAATTTTCACCTTATCCAGTCAATTAAAAGGGAACGCACTGACAAAAATGTTAGAGTTAATATTGCAGTTTCTATAACATCAGGTAAAAGTAAAATTGATTTATTGGTACTAGGGGTCACAATTTTATGTCTTCATTATACAATTAAATGGTACTTTCCATCTCTACAATTCTATTTTTATTGAATTCTGTTTTTCAGATCTCAGCAGGAGCTACAGAAGTCTCAGTATTTGGCGCAGCATCTGAATCTTTTAGCAAAAGGAACATCAATTGTTCCATAGAAGAAAGCATAGAAAGATTTGAAGAAGTTGCTAAATTGGCAAGAAATATGAATATTCCGGTGAGAGGGTAAGTATAAATCTTTCTTACATCATTACAAATTATGAATTTAATTGCCATATTGATCTTTTTCTTATCAAATTGAAAAGTATACCATACCACAGTCAACCTGTTTTTCAAATAGCTTTTGTAGCTTATCCTATCTATAATAAGGGAAAAGAAGTATTCTTGGGTGAATTGGGTTAATTAGTATGACAAATTTGATTCATTCCATTTATAATAGCTATTTAATGTTATGCCCTATATTTATGGTTACTACTGTATTATTGTGTCATAATTTTTCTAATTCATATATTGATAGAACTTTGTTTAGATGATGGGACCTTCTTTTGGTCTTGCTTGCTGTTGCCACACTATTGTGCTTTTCTTTCCTTGTGCCCCTTTTTTACTTAACAGTCAAATGAAAGTTTTGGGAGAGAACATTCTGTTCCAGAATGTGTAGTGGGACAGAAATACCTGGACAAATGACAATGGCAGGAGAAAATTGGCTACTTCTACAATGACCATATCTTAGATAAAAATGAGTGTAAAGTAATGATAACACAACTGATCCATGGGACCCAGATTTATGATAATGATATTGAGGCTCAAATGCTGATTTCCTCCCCTGGTAGGGTCTGGGATGAGATTAGAAATTTTCAATGGCTACTTGTCTGCTATGAATTAGTTTGCACATGTTTAATTAAGTGGTAACCTCTTTTTCCATAGACATATTTCTGGACTCCTCTGAGTTATGCCAGCAGCAATTGTTCTGGTGGTTTTTACATTGAAACATAATGGAAATAAGGTGTTCCCACAACATATGTATTGCTTACTGTCTGATTAGCCATTTGTTTAGCCATGCAGGGAGGCAAATGAGAAAAGTGAAGAGGTAGGAGGACATAGAGAAGCAAGAAAGAATAAAAGAAAGGAAAGAGGAGAATGGGAAGAGTAGAACTGAGACTGAGATGGAGTAGGGAAGTAATTAAGGTAAGAAAAAGGGAGAAACAACAAAATAAAAAGATGGAAGTGCTGACATATAAAAATGAAAGAATCAGAAAATGAATTGAAGATGTAAACCAGCAAGGAAAAGAGAGAGAGGGAATACAACAGTAGAAAAAATATAAACAAGTTAAATTTAAAAATATGTTTATGTTGTGCATCAAATGGAGAGATTTTTGATTTTCACTTAAGTGGGAAAAGCTACATAGGCATCACTTAATGCATACAGGACATTTTCAGCAAGTCTGTAGTGCCATTTGCAGTATGTTACACAACACTTCAGTAGAGGACTGTTTAATGTATGCTAGGTCACAAAACAAATACATTCAAAGTCAGAAGTGGAACTTAGACTTAACTTCACTACATCTATTGGCTTCCCCATTATGCCTACTCCCTGCATTATAATGATATGAGAAAATTGAATTACTGAGAAGGAAGAACAGAAAATCTGAAAGTGAATCACTGGATCTGCAGGATTACCACTGAGTAAAAGGTCTAATCAAAGGATATTAAAAGATATTACATACAAGATACATTTGTTTTCTCTTCTGTCCTTATTTAGGAATCTTTCTGTACAATTACAGGTTGAAGCAGGAAAAGCTAAGATGCTGGAATAAACTGATAGATTAAAAATCAAGTTTCATACAACTTCTAGGACTAGATAGCATGTAGGAAGGAATTTTGAAGGAACTTAAAAATGAAGTGTCTCAGGTACTAGAGATGTTTAAGAATTTAATCAGAAATGCAGTTTCAGATTAAAATTAGATATTTTGTCAGAGGACTGGAAAGTAGTCAATGTTATAACTGCATTTAAAGAAAGTGCTAGGATTGATCTTGGGAATTACAGAACTAAACTTTACATCAGTACAAGAAAAATTGGTTGAAACAAAAGTTGAAAATATAAGTATTAAATATCAAGGTAGACCTGGGATGACAGACAATTTAGCATGGCATTGGCGAAAGAAAAATGTGACTCTCATCTACTGGAAAGCTTTGAGTATATCAACAATCTAATTGATAAAGGAGAACTAATTGAAACAAGTTATTTGAACTTTGAGAGTATCTTTGAATAAATCCCTTACAAAAGGCTCTTAATGAAAAGAGCTATCAGGGTTTATGGTGGAGGTGATATCTTTTATTAGGCCAACAAGAATTTTGCAAAAAAAAAGTCTTTAATTGCAAGCTTTGGGCACAAACATCAGGCATCAGAGAAAAGATTGTAAAAGTTCTCCTGGGTAGAAATTAAAGTTCATATTTTGTAGGATTTCACAGCAGAGTCAATATTTGGAAAACTCCTCTGGGCAGTCAATTCTTAGATGGTAAGGAGTCTCTCCTACTTACACAATTTCAAGAGAATAATGCTTGGTAAATTTGCTTGAAGATTCCCAGATATTTTTAATGAAAAAATTACAGAGTCAAACTGTTAGCCCCTCCCTGTCCTTGGTAGACTGACACCTGAGGTTCTCTAGTAGTGTCAACGTAACTAAAACACAAACCAGCTTAATACACAATTTAATCCATTTCCATAGGTTTTCATGAGGGCTTTGTATAGCTCTCATGCTAATGATCAAATTTTGCTTAGAAGAATTCATAAATGGTTTAATCCCATTTAAATAAATGTATTCATATCTAGTATGTGAAACCTAGCTTTATCCTAAGGAAAATACCGTTTTAGGAAGATAATCATGAGTTTAATGCTTTCACTTAAATGGAACTCAGAAACTGTTTTGGTCAACGTAGTCAGTGCAAACAAAAAGCAATGTTATCCTTGTTGAATATAGTGCAAGAAGGATCAGCCATTGAAGCCTGCCACTTGCTCAGTCACATCCCAAATGTAATTGTGATTGAAAGACTTCCTTTAGGCTAGGGACATACATTACACATAAACTGGTTTAAGTGATCAGAAACTGGTTTAAACCTGTAACAGAACAGATGTTCAGTGCACATACACCAGTTTGAAAATGGTTGAAACCGGTTTGAGATAAACGTGGTTGAATGTAGTATCAGACTTAACTGATTTTGGTCAAACTGGTTTCTGTAATGTCTGTCTCAGGCCCCTTGCTGGTTTAAAATAAACCAGACTCCCCCAGCATCCTGACATGCTCTCTGGGCTGGGCAGGGCACACTCCTCTGCAGCAGGGCTGGCCCCTCCCCTCTGCTCCCTGGCTGTAGCTCTGGCAGAAACTTGCAGGCACAGAGTGTCTGCCTGGTTTATCCAAGCTAAGCAGGGATTATTCCCCCCGCCCCTCTGCTTTATGCAGATACCACCGCATTAGCTAGCAGACCACATGCTGGCTACGGTCCGTGCTGTGGGAGACAACAAAGGCAGACAGGCTTTTTGGATCTAATCAATAGGTAGCTTAATGTCCTTTGGAAAAACTGTTTAAGAAGAGCTTGGAGAGAGGCTTTGTTTTCTTAATGGATTGATAAACACTGACTTAGGGGTGATAAACATTCCCTGCTGCGCAGCTCAAGGTGTGTGTGTGGGGGGGAAATAATCAGCATCCTGCCGGACCTGCCACACCCCCCTCAACCAAGCACTGTGAAGTGAAGGAAGGGTTGTTCTAGTGCCCTCTGGCTTCTAGCCTGAGCCACTGCAGACATGTGCCTGGATTTCTAGAAAGAAAACTGAATATCTATCCACCTCCAACTCGGTTCAAGCTTTGCAGGTTAGGCTAATCTGCAAAGATTGAATCAACCCAGACTCAGGCTTTTTTAATGTCTGTCCCTAGCCTTAGTGACGGATGAAATTAAAGGATTCTCTCACAAAAGGTCAGTGTGTGCAGTACCAACAATGTGTGTGCAGCATTATCAGCACTGAACTGAGGTTCCATGGAATTAAAATGCTCTGACTGATGAAGCACATTAAGGATTTGCTTGGGGTGACTGAAGATGATGCAGTTTTTGAGCAGAATCATGATGTTGGAAAGCCAACTACAGCATGGGCAGATCCAGGATTTTGTGAAGGAGGATGTGGGAGCAGCACCTCCCTACTTCCCAACCCCTAGGCAGGCAGACCCCATTGTGAGAGCAGCAATGGGGACTTTCAGGTCCTCAAACCAGTTAAGAATCCTGTCCCGCATTCCCTCATTTTGGGCACCCCTCCTTTCCCCTCCCATTTGTCTCCTCCTCCACCTACCACTGCCACTGTCCTCAGCTGGTGTGTGTGTATGTGGTGTGTGGGGAGTCTCAGAGGTTTTCTTGCCCTGGGCTCAGCAAAAGACAGCAGCAGTGGCAGTGGTCTCCCCAAGTGTTCCCTGCTAGCCACAAGGTCAGGGTGAGCAACTCATCCACTGCCGGTGCTGCTTCTGTCCCCTGCTGACTCTTTGATAGCAGCTGTGGGGCCCCTCCTCCCACAACCCTCCCAAATAACAATTCTTCCAATTCATTTTGCAGTGGGAAAGTACTGCAGAGCCACTGCAGCCAGGTTTAGCAGAGGAGGTGGTGGTGAGGGGTGTGTTTATGGGCCTATGCTTGTTCCCGGGCTGGCAGGAAACACCTGGGAGATGCGGAACAGAAAGGAACCCCCTGCTTCCACTATTGCTGCTGTTCCCAGCTAGAACAGACAGGAGTGGCTCTGCCTCCCTCCATCAACAGGGGACAGCAGGATTAGTGAGGTACCCATGCTGCTGAGGATAGAGGGGAAGGGAAGGGGTGCTGAGAGTGAGGTAGGAGGGACCTGATTTGTGGACTTTAAAAATTTCCTACTGCTGCTCTCAGCAGGTTCTGAAAGTGGGGTGCACTGATTAAGAGTATTTTGATCTAGAGCAAAGGACAGATGAGAGGTTCAGGGACTTTTGATGACATTTCATTACTTCCAGCTCCCACTTTTGTGCTAAGCCATGCAGCCACAAAAATAGGAATAGTACCTACAGTTTGGAAAGCCTTGGAGTTCCCCATCACCCACTTTTTCATACAGAAATGGGTGGGGTGATGGTATTCTTTAGCCATTTGAATTCAGTATTTGTTGTCTGTCTTCATGGTTTTCTTGTGTGGAGAGAATAGGCTACTAGCCTTGTTTTATTGTG